AGCTGCTGTGATGCTCATACACACCCCATTCCTCTAAGCACATGCCTGCACAGAACAGACACACCTGCTGAGGCTTCCCAATGCAAGTTACCATTACCAACCATGTCTGGTTCTTATGAAAATCAGCCTCCCCTTTAATTTCCAAAGCAGCTACACCAGAAGAGAGAGAACATTTTACACCTGCCTTCACACAGCAATGGGGACCTCCCTACAGTTTGGAGATGCTAGTGAGCACCAGGAAGAGCTAATTTAGCATTTCATACAAACACCTTCTTCAAAAACAAAAACCCAAGGAATAATCCTTGAAATTCTCACAACATCACCTACATTTAACAGCCTGCCACACCTCCTGGATGCTTTTTCATAAGACTGTCAGGCTGAGGGCTCAGACGTGGGTGAAAGTTCTTTACAGAGAAAGTGGCGAGCTGCTGGCACAAGCTTCCCAGAGAGATGTGGATGTTCCCTCCCTGGAGGTGTTCAAGGCCAGGTTGGATGGGACCCTGGCCAGCCTGGTCTAGCATTTGATCTGGAGGTTGGTGGCTCTGCCTGTGGCAGGGAGATTGGAACCTGATGATCCTTGGTGTCCCTTCCAACCCAAGCCAATCTATGATTCTATGAAAACATTTTTAACAGTTTTAGCAAGGCTGTGCACAGCTATCTGCTGAGGGCTGTGTGCTGCTTTACGATGCTCATCCCTGCAGAAGTGCAGATACACCACAGGAACAAGCTGTCCTAAACAAAGGTTCACCTGCATCATTCTGCATGTTGGGTATTCCTGAGAACAATTTTACTTCTATGGCTCTTTAGAGGTTGGAGTATAGTCTGCGTGCTACAGAGCTGCAACAGCTGCCTGGAGAAAGCCTGAGTAGATAAGGAGGAAAGGATACATCAGTTAATTAAAGAAAACAGTGAGTTTTTGTGCTTCTGAAAGCCAGCTTGGGATGGTGGCTGCTGGAAGCACTAAGGACATACCTAGCAGTTTCCAAATGTATATATAATAAATATAGTAATAGCAAAACAACACCACAAACCCCTACGGCCTTACAGCAAGCAAAACACACCTTGACAAGAGTGGGAGATCTCAGTGTTATTTGCAGTTTATGACAGAGGTGACAGTTCATAATAAACACCACAAGCATTTTGCTGAGCAGCAGAATTAGGCACCTTCTCTCCACTTGTCTGTCATATTCAATACCCAAAACCCTTGTTTTCTTCCCATCTCAACCTCAGCATCATTTACACAACCACGACGAGAGTTCTCTCTTTCCTAAGTACGTAGCAAAGCAAACCCATTAGCATTTGAGGCTGAGATAACAGGTAATTGGGTGGGCTAATTCAAATTATTTTCATCATTAAGAAAAAAAAAACCACCACTCAAAATCACCAGCTTTTTTGTTCTTTTACAATCCATAACTCTCAAAACCAATTTCCTCCTCACAGTGATCTTAATACTAATTAAATGAGCTTTTGTCTTCCAACACCACTAAAGATGAAGTACCACATAAAACAGCTGCAGCAAAACCCCATCCAAAGCCCAATTTAACCTGCTTGCTGCTTCCCAGCTGGACTCTGCATGCCTGCAAACACACATCTGTCATCTCTGAAGCCACCCGAGGACTCCTTCAGTCCCAGCACATTAGGGTGCTTGCAAGCTAACAGAGCCGTTCAGCACTGCTTTTAACTCTCAGGCTGAGCCAATCCACCAGGCGAGTGCAGAAAAGACCAAGAGAAGTCAAGAAATGCATTATATTCTATTCACAAGCCTCTCGATGGAGCCACCAACCACGCAAGTGGATTACCCACTCCTGGAGGCATTCAAGGCCAGGCTGGATGTGGCTCTGGGCAGCTTGGTCTGCTGGTTGGTGCACACAGCAGGGGGTTGGAACCAGATGATCATTGTGGTGCTTTTCAACCCAGGCCATTCTGTGATTCTGTGATTACACACATTGCTGCTGGTGGAAAAGTGGGACCCTAATTTCTGTGCTCAGACATGTGTCCCTCATCCTCAAGTCTGGTTAGACGCTCTGTCTGCTTACTTGGCTTTTGAAGCAAAGATGAAAGAGTGCATTTAGTTGTCTTCCTGAATCAGACCCCCAGAGCCACTGAGGCGTCACAGATGTAATTATAAATCATGAGTCTTGCATCTGGAGCACAATCAGCAGCTCCAGCCAGAAATCTCAGATATCAGCAATTTCTCCAAAGCTGTTCTCTGACAAAACCTGACGCAGCACCAACGAAATGAGTCAGGCAGAAGGAACCAGCAGTGCTGCAGCAGCAGGCAGACTCCTTACTGAGAAGCCCCCCAAAATCACGGGCTTCCAGGTGGGAGATGAAGCTTTCCTGGAGAGCAACGAGAGCAGCTCCCACCCTGTTGTTGGATGATCAAGTCAGCAGCACACCATTTTATGGCATTTCCAAAGACCTGGTTGGGACAGGACACAGAAAACATCAGCTTTCTTCTGTTTTCCCTTGATGAACAGGATTTCTGGGCTGGCAGTAAACTGCTCAAAGGCTATCATTAACAATAAAGGATTGCATGAGTACAGGTTAGGGGAAGACCTATGGGAGAAGCTCTGCAGATAAAGATCTGGGTGTTCTGGTGCACAGCAGGTTTGCCATGAGCCAGTAGTGTGCCCTTGCGGCCAGGAAGGCCCATGATGTCCTGGGGTGCATTACCCCATGGCCAGCAGGTTGAGGAAGGTGATCCTATCCCTCTGCTCTGCCCTGGGGAGGCCACACTGAGTATACTGTGTCTGGTTCTGGCCTCCCCAGCTCAAAAAAGTCAGGACTAGGAGGAGTCCAGCAGAGGGCCACAAAGATGACAAAGGGCCTGAAGAACCTCCCATATGAGAAAAGGCTGAGTAACTTGGGTCTGTTCAGCCTGGGTAACAGAAGACTGAGAGGGGATCTGACAAATGTTTCTTAAATACCTAAAGGGAGGTGGGAGGCAAATGGATAAGGCCAGACACTTCTCAGTGGTGTGCAATGACTGGATGAGGAGCAATGGCCTAAAACTTGAACATAAGGAGTTCCATACAAACACGTGAAAGAACTTGTTTATGGAGAGGGACAGAGCACTGGAACAGGTTGCCCAGAGAGGCGGTGGAATCTCCTTCTATGGAGATACTGAAGTCCTGTCTGGACACCTACCTGTGTGCCCTGCTGTAGGGTACCTGCTGTAGCAGGGGGTTGGACGGATGGTCTCCTGAGGACCCTTCCAATCTACACTGTTCTGTGATTCTATACACACACTTTAACACCACCTGAATGAGAAAATTCAACTGCCTTGATGGGAGGTCATGCTGATGCAGATAAGGATCTACATGATGACTGTTTAAAACATCTCTTACTGCCTTCCTCTCCTATGAGTGCTAATTTAGATGTGATACGTTTTGCCATAATCACAGTTTTATCTTCTGGGCAGAAGTAGTCAGAAAAGTCCATAGGCCTGGCAAGGAGAGTCTAGTTGTGAAATGCATGCACAACAGAGTGCTGAGATGGAAGGTCTCCTCATGTATCAGAATTTTAAATGTTAATGGGAAGAAAAAAAAAACACAGAAGATGAATTACAGAATCCAGGTATTACACCAGCATCCCTCCCAGCTATTAAGAGAGACTGCTTCTTGTGGGAAAATCATTGGATAGAGCATAAACCTGGAACCAGTTTGAGACTGGGCCATATTGTAGATGAGTTTCATGCCATCAGCACTCTTTGCCTGGATAATTATATCTTATGAATCAACCATGAGAGAAAATTGCCTGCCAGTGCATTCCCACAGCTGTCTGCCTCCGGTCTCCACTGCTAAGGATTTGGTAGGGGCACACTGGAGCCCCCATCTTGGGCAGTGGAGTTTCTCTTGATGCTGCCATGATCCTTACACTCCAGTGGTATAAACCAAAACAAACAGAAGGAATAAACTGCCTTTTTTTTTTTCCCTCTCACCCCCACTCTTTTAACCTAAAAGCTCGCTATAAAACTAATGTACCTTTGCACATTATCATTTCAGAATTTCCACTAATCCCATGCATAATTACACGGAGTACCGCATCGGTATCCCACTCATGCAAACACTGTCATAAAGTGCACAGTTTTCATAGCACTGGGTGACAAAAAAAATAACTGCAGTCATTTATTTCTGGTCTGAAAGCAGTTCCACGACATAATGCAATGAGACGGTATTTTTCATCAGCTTTTTGTTGTGGTCACTACTATTCATCTATCTCATAAACCTTCCCCCAGTGCACGTTAACAACGTTATTTTAGTAAGCTGTTGAATTATTCAGCAGCATAGCAAGGCTGTTGGCTCTGACAGCCCCTGTGCCCATCCTGCACACCCCACACCTGAGGCAGCAGTGCCCACGTTTCACTTCAGGTATTTGGGGGCTGTCAAGAGGAAATAATTGACCTCTGTGCACAAAGCAACCCCAGCCTAACGCACCGAGCTGCTCTCCCTCCTCCTGCTGTTATACTTTGCTCAAACGGACTTGTCCCATACCTGCAGCCTGCAGGAACAACATTTTAGAGCTGCCAGCCACGCAGAGATCAGTGTAAGAACAACTTAAGACCTATTCTTTCAGGGCTTGTAAAATGATATCTTTGCTTGTTCTAACTTTGCCCTGAAAGGAGATGCAGTTTTTATTCAAAATACGCCGTGTCTTTATTTCATGAATTCACACTCAGATCATTATGCAGCAATAATCACCTCATTCCTTATGATTTCCAAAAACTGAATGCTGTAATTGAAATAAAGCACCTTCGTCACGTGCAGTTAAACACAAGGCTGTACAAACCTACACAGTGCCCACAACTCCCAGTGTTTCTGCACACCATGGCCAAATAATACCCTCTTCCAAAGCTGTTCACCCCAGTAACACCCTTCAACTGGTAGTGTTACAACACAACACCCTCTCTGAGCATCCAACCTCTCTAGGCTGGCTTCTCACTTTGTCTTCCCACATTCTGCCCTATTACATCTCACCTGGCGGGCCGTGCAACATACCTGATGGGCAGTGAGGGGTCCCCAGCGTCCCACCAGTCCTTGGGGGGGCTGATGTACATGCACCACAGCTCCCAGCTGTACCCGTGGGCCGAGTTCTCATAACGCTGCACCTCAAAGTTGTCCTGCTTGATGTTGTCTATGGAGGGAAGGATGACTCTTCTTCTGTTTTCTTGAATTCGTGAAAGCACTGGCTCAGCCCTGGGAAAAAGAAACAGTGTGCAGGAAGAAATTTAATTTCTCGCCATGTTTGCACGTGGACACTGTTGCCTTCATACAGCTTGTATGATTAAATAAGGGGAAGGAAATGAGCATCTTGTCACCATTCAGTAAATAGAAAGGAACGTTGTGAGCATCTCTTGCTGCCATTTGGAAGATGGCACAAAAGAGATACAGCAGAACCCACACAAAGGGGTTCGGAGAGCCACTAAGCAATCTCACATTGCAACGCCCTGGCCTCTGTACTACTGACCCATCTGCCCCTGCTTTTATCTGCACAGAAACCACATGCAGAGAGAACACATTTACACGGCCAGGACTAAAGGTTGTTTCTAAAAGGCGCTGCCAAGCCAACAGGGAGATGCAGCAGGGGTTGCAGTGCTTGCACTTAGCAGGGTTCCCTATCTGAACACATCCCTTGTGCAGGGCTGTGAGCGGAGACAGGGACAAAGCCCTGCATGTCTGGGGCACTCCAGCACCCTCCTACACCTCTGACTGCTCCTATGAAAACCCATGGGCGAGCTGAGGCCAGCAGCAGAAGCAAAAAACAATTTCCACAAACTAAGGCATTAAGCTGTTGAAATGAATGAAAGCTCTGAAAGTGGACCTTATCTTCTCCTGCACAGCCAGCACACTGTGTTTTCTCTGTATGGTATGCTTGCTTAAAACAAACAAACAAACAAAAACAACAACAACAAAAAATATTATTAAACAGTAATTCCACACTTGGAACTTTTTAATTTTCAAAATTGTCATGTTTTTAAACTGAGCTTTCCTGATATCTTCACTGAGGTAGCAAAGAAATTGGACAAACCATCAACTAAGGGCTGGATTTGCAGCATGGACTGACTCTGCAGGCAGAGCAATACAGAGAAGGCACTCAATGACCATCTGGAGACTCCTTCCATAGAAGAACAGCAACAGCAGCAGCTATGCAGTGCCAGAGCCGAGTCTTTGCTGCAGAACCACTCCATCCCTTACAAAAGCTATTTCAAGAGTTCAGTAAACTGTGACTTTCTCAGTATACCAATAAAAGCATGTGTGGAGACCTAATGACCTGAGGAGAGGAATGTTTAGTTGGGCAGATATCAACATAAGTAATGACTCCTCAATACACTCTCCTGATGTGCTGCTATTATAAAAACTCCAATGACTGCACAGATCTCTGAGCTGCAGAGTTGAATGTTGAAGCATTTTTATAGTGGATGTTTCTTCGTGTTCAAATTGGACACAAGTTAGTCTCCTCTACACCTAGTTTCCTAAACATGGGCTATTTACTTTTTACACATGGTAGGAGAGAAAAACCACTCTGTTTCCTTTCACGATCTACACTCACAGAAACTTCAGCCACTTGAACCCACACGTTTCTGATCCCTCTGGAAAAGAGTCCTTATGAAATACCTCTGTTGCTTCTGCACCTCTGCACTTATTCCTAGCTGCAGAAGAAAACAAATCAATCTAAGACATCAGCCTCCCCCAGTGGGATCCAGCTGCAAAGGGCAAGAATGCGGGAAATGCTTTCTTTCTCAATCCCCTGCTGTCTGGGCTTTTTGTTTTTTAAACTTAGAGTTCTTAGGCCTAAGAGAACTGGAAATCAATGTGAACAACGAACTAGAAGCGAGGGAGAAACAGGGAAACATCAAACAAGAGACTAGGAAACGATGACAGTAAACAAGAGCACTAACAATTAATATAAATAAGACCTTCCCTGTGTCATCCCAACGTGTCCCATTAGCGACCGCTCAGCACGGAAGGAAGACAGGATTAAGGTGCGTGTGGAAATGCTCTCATGCATCCTAACAAAACGACGGGCTGCCCCCCATCGACGTCCTCGCACCTACCAGCCAGCAGTGAACTCCACGTGGGCATCGAAGAACCCGGTGACGTGGCCCGTGGCCGCCTTCCAGCCTTCGATGCGCGCTCGGATGAGGCCTTCCCTCTTCTGGTTGCGCACCACCTTCACGAGCCCTGGGTACCGCTTATTGACGTACTCCTCCAGCGGTGCCTTCAGTTCCTCTGCCAGAAGAAGCACCAGAAACCCACTGAAAAGTTGTAAAGCTTCCACCTAACGTAACCCCCTGCACCCTGACACCACCGCCAGAATGGATATATTCACCTGAAACTACCTTAGATTTGAGTTAATGCTGTTTTGCATTTGTTAAACCTGACGTTGAACGGACTCTGATAGAATTAAAGAGGTTTTGGCTTTGTTTGGAAGACCTTCATCCTTTGTGTCTTAATGCTCATTGGAACCGCAGATCATATAATTGTGCTACCCAAGCCTGTACATGTGCTGTGGCTGAGAACATGATGGAGCTGTCAGCCTGCAGTCATTACCAGCACTGAACTTGATGGTAGGTACAAGTTACACATTGTGAAAAGAGAGGTACAGAATTTTTGAACCTGGGAGTATAAGAAAGGTTGGAAAGGCTGCAAAGAGCAGCACGTTTTTTCAACTGTTTGGAAAAGTCTCCAAAATCTCTACTGCCCCATTTGAGATTCTCAGTTCAAGGTTTGGTTGGAGGTCCTGGGATTGAGAACCACCCCATTCAGGGACATAATGCAATCACCTGTCATTGTGTGTCACGTGCATCCTTCCAGCTTCCCAAGGGAGATTTCAACATGCTGTGCCCAACACTCCAAAAAGAAAGCAAACAATAAATGAATGAACATCCAACCACCACAGACAACAGAGAAAACTAACGGAACACACCAGTTTACAACTGTGCCCTACTACATCGGTACAGAGCCTCCTGTTACAAAAATCACCCTCTGTGCTGGACTCTAGTGCTCTGCCTCTACCTTGGTCCTTACACCTCCCGGTGAATCAGTGACATGCACAAAGATCTGCTGATGAAAAGTGCTCTGTAAGACCTAGGTAAAACTACAGTTTACCAGCACACACTGTTAACGCCATGAGGGTCTTTGATTCCTATAATGCTCCAAGACATCAGGTCCAAGATATGGTCAGTGACCCCAAGCGAAGGTTTTATTACCTCCTAGATATACACAATCCACAGCATACAGCACATGTCAGTAACAAAGCCATTCTTGCAGGAAGGAAACAGCAATCAGGGAGCAAATGAGTCAACAGCAAGGCCCATCTGCTGGGCCAGCCTGGGATACCCTCAGAGGATACGGCAGCATTGACTCCCTTTCCCTCCACTCCTTTTCCTAAGCACATAAAATGTGCTTCCTTCAGACTGGCATTGTTCCCCTCACATACCAATTTCCCCAAAGTCTCATTTCTCTTTTATGCTGAAATGGGAATAAAAAGAATAAAGCAAATGAGCCCCTTCCTCAACTCAAAGCATCTGCATCACATACACACATAACTCAGCAACTTCCATTTCATGCTGAGCCATTCGGAGAAAAACCAGTGTTTTATGGAGACAACAACTCTTCTGAATGATTTTAAGGAGACAGGGACACAGACTTGTTGGCAGATGAAGCCCCACAAGCACAGCACAGCCTCTCGTGTCTTTTTGTCATTAATGCTGCAGACCATAGCATTGCAGGCTAGAAGGAACTATTAAAACCACTTTCAACAAATTGGAATTTTAAGCTTTCCTCGTTGAAGGGAAAGAGGAAGAAACGTTCCTGGGAACTGTCTGAGCAGCTAGAAGGAGGGTATAGATTTAGTGAACCAGGGAGGAACTGTGTGAAGTGGAACAACGCTGGGCAGATTTCTGGGCTCACTCCCTCTCTTCTCTCCCAGTCTGCCGCAGCCCTGAGCACCCTGGGGTGAGAATCAGCTGTTCAGATGCGCCATCTGTGCTGCCCTTGGTTGGTGTCTGAAGCCTCCGAGGTGGGCAACAGCTCTGCAGGAGAGCATGGTGCTCAGCAGGTGTAAGCACGATGCCAGAGCACTTTGGGGATTAGGAGACTCCCACTTAGCACCCAAACAGGTGATATTACTAAATAGGTAATAACCTACTGAGCAGGCTCAATAGTGGGCTGGGCTTTGGATGTGTCGTGCTGTCAGAAAGCACAGATCCAGGCTGGAATCCGGAGCACTGCTACAGTAAGGTTGGCAGCAGCAAACCTTTTCATCTGCCACCAACTTCCGAAGTGTTTCACCTCCAACTCCTGCATCTCTGCAGCATATCCCTAAGCTATATCAGGAAGGTTAGGAGGGCTGAAATAATATGCCAGGAATTAAGTGACTTCCACTACAGGGGAATAGCCATGAGCCTTGCTTAATAGAGTCAGCTTTCCCTCAGACTGGCAATCTGGCCTTTGAACCTGCTATTTTCAGTACTCCACACAAATTACAGCGAGGGAGGAAGCATCTGGCCGCTGTTCTCCTTGCCTCTGCCTTATGCTATGTACTTGCAATGCTTTTGCTCGTATCAGCTCGTTGCTGAAAATGAGAATATCCACAGCATACTGCACCAGTGAGTAGTTCAGCACGGTATGCAGCTCAGAGAAGAACTCTGGATGCAAAGAGACAACCAAAAGGAGCCACGGTGGGAGCAGAGCAGCGGCTGCCCCACTCCCCCTCATCCTCATCAAAGCAGTGTCAGTGCAGCCCATGTGCTCACAAGGTATCTGCATGGGTCAAACTCCAGGGGTGCTCCTCCACAGCACACCCACATCATTCCTGAATCTCATTCGTTACAGATGCAATCAATACCTGCACATTGAGGTATCTGTGAACATTCGGTCTTTGCCACTGCATGAGACATTTCCAGGGAAGTTTTGAAGAAAGAAACTGAACTGAAAATGCCAGCAGGTTCAATTTCAATCCTCCCTTTTGTTCTCCATCTGTCTGTATTGATCCTCACTGAAAGGCGAGTCCAAGAAAGTAGAATCCAATAGACCTGTTGCTCTATTAAAAATTCCAGCTGTCAGCTGTAATGACTTATGTTATGTATTGCAAAGTGGTTTGTCACCTACATGAGCCTTTTGGGAAATAGGCCTGCCAGAGAGACAGAGCCACCGGCTGCCACTCCAAGCAGCTGTGTCACGGACAGCAGCCCTGAAGCAGCCATGGGAACTTCCAGGAATATCCACTGCTCTGTGTTTTGTGCTGCAAATCCTGCCCAGTCCTTCCCAAATCCCCTCAAGATGGGAACTACCCAGTGGCACAGTAAGGTAGGAGCAAAAACCAATGGCACCAGATGGCCAGAGGAACTGCACCTCCTCTACACCCCGAAGGAAAACATGGCAGTGTTTGCCAGGCTGAGCCAAGTGGGAAAAGTCTACGGAGGCTTTATCAGAAAGCCCACACACTGCAGGGCATGTGGGTTAGGGCTGGGAATGCCCCGTGCCATGGGGACAGCAGCACTGTCTGAAGTGCCTCACCTGCCTGAAGTGCCACAGCCATCACAGGTCAGGAACCCACGGAGGAAACTCCTTCAATGATCAACAAATGGCCATGAGAATTATGGCAGCGAGATTCAGATCCAGGTGAGCCTCCAAAGCTTTTCATGTTTGTGCACAAATATCAAAGAGGTAAGTGTGAACAGGGGAGCAGGTGTGTGAACCAATTCCCAAACACAGACAGGCTGGGCTGGTTCTACTCAGATAGAGGCAAGGCTAGAACACTGAGTGCCTTCAGCTGCACATCTCTCATCTGACCAAAGCCCACGAAATAGGGACAAACCAACTAGTTTCACTGCCCCCTCTGCTCTTTAGCAGAGCCTGAAAGCACCAGTACTGAACACCCGTGGGACAGCACCAGGTCTGTTGCAATTAAGCAACCCACATTTACGTAGAGCAACTGGAATGAGCAGGCACTCAGATGGGACCGACGTCCAGGAAAAGCTGAGATAAGACCCAGCTTCTTAGAAGTTTGTTGAAACTATTCTCTAACGTGTGAGCCAGCCCCCAGGGGAGCACACGTACACTGCTGGTGGTGCTGCAAAACAAGAAAGTGATGCACCCAGCCACAGCTCATGCCTTGCACCGAGCTAAACTGCAACCAGCAGCACGCACCCTTGGGTGCAGCCAGCTGCTCCGAGCAGCCTTTCATCCAAAGGTTTCCTTTGATACCAAGGAGTTTGCTTTTCAAAGAGATATAACCCCAGATTAAAAACATTAAAAGACAGCACGAAAAAGCAGGTGTTGATTTAAGCAACGCACTCAGACAAAGTGTGCAAGCGTGAGATAACGCAGCATCTCGGGGGCAGGCGGCCACATCCCTCCAACAAGCTGGGAAACACCTTATCAGTGCGGAACACAGCCTGCACACCAGCCTGGTAATCACACCCCTGCAACAAACAAACAAAAGAAACCTCCAAAAAAGTCTTTACAAAGCGTGACACGCAGTTCAAGGGGGATGGGGGCTCCAACTACAACTCCTCACACTTCTTCCTTCGAGAAGAGATTTCTTCCCATTGCAATAGCTTTGCATCTTTTATCTCCTTACAGCTCACAGACAAAGAATCAGAAAACCCTTGTTTATTAACTTTTCATCTCTCATTGCACAGTTTTACGTTGTGCAACATTGTTCTCTAAATGGCACTACAACAAAGCTGAGAGCAACACTCAGCTCTCACCTCCAGCCCTGTGACTGACTCCAAAACATGAAGCTGACCTGGAAATCTCAGGGCTCTTGGTTGGGGTTGGAACATGATGATCCTTCATGCCCCTTCCAACCCAGCTGTTCTGTGATTCTATGACACCTATACATATTCCTGTATGTGGGAAAAACGGAAAAATGCTTTCCAGCACAAAACACATGAAAACACAGCACCCTACAGCCCATGGTCCAGAGCCATGGGCTTCCATTGGCCCTCCAGGTGCTTGCCCAGAAGTTACCTCCAGGAAACCACCAGGGTTTTGGGCCTCTGCCCTCAGAAAGTCCATCTCCTTTCTGGTGCACAAAGCTGAGCCCCAAAACTTCATGCAGGCTCAGCCACAAGCCATATGCCATAGAAACCGACCCATGCTCACAACCAACTCTAGCAATTTCTTGGGCCAGGCTTTTTTCAGTGGTGCCCAGCAACAGGACAAGGGGCAATGGGCACAAACCAGAACAAGGGTTATTTCCATCTGAACATAAAGAAGTTCATTGCTGTAAGGGTGCCAGGACAGGTTGCCCTGAGAGGTGAGGGAGTCTTCCCTGGAGATACTCAAAACCCACCTGGACATCTTCCTGGATGTCCTGCTGTAGGGAACTGCTCTGGGGGATCTCCAGAGGTCCCTTCCAACCCCTACAACTCTGCCCTTGTCTCATTCAGTGGAAAATGCACACGCACAGCTCCATCCTTGCTGGCATCCTTGGCACAAGTGCTTACTCCTCCAGGAGTCATCTCTAAATCTCACAGCTCATGAGAATCTATTTTCCTGTAATTATTTTCCGGTAGAGATAAATCCATATATTATAATGACTTTGTTTGCAATATCTGAAGCATCAACTGTAAGATGTTACTATCGCTGCTCACAATTATTTCCTACCATTAATGCAAATTAATATGACAATATTATGGCCATTAATATTTCTTTGCTGTCATTGAGACTCCTTGATGATGCAGAGAGCGAGTGCACAGGTCCAAGAGCTACGTGTTGGTTTGTATCATTTCTTTTACAGAAAAACTCTATGTTATTACACGCTTGGGAGGAGCTCTCCATAAACATCTGCCAAGTTACCTCATTACCTTCCTCCAAATCCCCCCCTTCAAAATCTCATTTGTTATGACGCCCACAAAGATTCAGCAGCATAGCTCCAACATTATTAACTAACCCTGGTGGATAACAGCATCTCCTTATGCCTTGCCCCGTTTTCCTTTCATATTTCCATCGGAATGCTTTTGAGGACAGTAGCACTTTGGTGCTCGGGTTTTGTACAACACCATCCCATTATGAGGAATGCTCACTGATGGAAGTGATGCATCCTCGTGGTGGGACACAGCACAAACTGCCCAGGCGTGCAAATTGGTTTTACAAAGCTCCTCCACCCCTCAATCAGAGTGGGTCATTTCTCTGCATCTCCCCCAGTCTGGCCAGCTCCCACAGAGCACTGCAGCACAGGGAGCTCAAGCAGCACAAAAACAGGTACACAGAGGGAACCCTCCAGGTACGAGAGCCCTGCTATCACCCTGCTAATACCAGTGCTGGTACAGCATTCCTGCAAGCCACCACCCTCGTACAAGCCACCAGGAAAGGCCCTGCCTTGCAATCTCAGCTGAGGACAAACAGATTCCATCCTGCATCCTCAACACCAGCAGTCTCAATTTACTTGGGGTTGATGCTTTTTGAAAGGATTCATTTCATTGTCTCCTGTCTTTTAATAGTGCCTCCAGAGTCCCTGACTGGATGTCAGTGATGCGAACTGCAGAGTGGAGGCTGTTTAGAAGCACATTTGTCAGTGTGTGGCAGCGTGTGGAAAAACTCAGCAATCATTACCAGGAGGTTCTCTAATGAAGAGAATTCTTCTCTTCACCCCATTGGTATGGCTCAGTTTGGAGAAGGAACGTCTCGTTTTGGTGATTCAGACTGGGCAATACCACAACAAGAGGTCGCCTGCACTTTCTCTTCAATATCCAAACCGATACCTGAGCTCTGAAATCCTACAGCTTCACCAGTGAACGTCAGCTCAGCTTCTGCACCAGAGCTGCTGCGATTTTCATCAGCTGAGGAGCTGGCCTCTTGTTTCTTCTACTGGTAATCATAATTCATCAGCTTTCTATGGTGCTCATTACTGTGATATTTGGGTGCCTATTTTTACAGGCTTGAGTAGCTCGCTGCACACCATCTCATCTCGCTGCAGACAGACGAGCAACCTCTCAGACTTCCTTTGGAAACGAGCTCTCCTCATCCTGTGCCCTGTTTTTTCTCATCACGGAATCCACAGCCCGTGTCTATTATTATTATTATTTTTAAATAATACCAAAAGCATGCAATGCAAATGAAGGCAGCAATCAAAGCAACAACCATTTGCTGGTCTTCATGAGATTTTAACTACCCTCATGACGTTATCCAACTGTACACTGGAAGAACAAACCTGGGAAGAATCCAAGACTGAAAACATTGCCATATGAAATTAAACACCCTGCATATTTCTGTAATCAAAAGCCAGAAGGGAAGATATTCAGCAGTGCCTGTAAGAAGGCTGAATCAAAACACAAAGGTAACATGGGAAACCTAACACCTCTCTCCAAGAGTTGTCATGGCTTGAACTTGTGTGTGTCTGGTGCGCTGGTTTCCTCCTCTGCACAAATCTTTCTCACATCAAAAACGACATATAAGAGGAATGAGGATCTCTGCAGATCCCATATATTTAAAAAAAAAACCAAAAGTATATATATACATTTTTTTTTTAAACTGGAGTTTTGTTGTAAATAGGGAAACTGAGGCACACAAAGAGGAAATGCAGAGTGTAACACCGCTGTGAGGAGCCAAAGCAGAACTGGATCTCTGTGCTCCAGGGTCTTGTCCTTCTGCCTCTTATTTAGAGGTAATCCCCTGCAACAAGCAGAGCGCTGTGACCAAAACAAAGATACACCCGAAACCAGAACCTGTGAATGCTCCAATGAAGAGAAAGGTAAGACTGCTCTCTAGTTTCCTTTGCAGACTTCCAGTTTTTAATTACAATTCCAATCAGTAATTATTGCAGATGTTAACTTTGGTTTGATTCTATTTCAGTTTTTGCTACAAAAGCTGAAGAAACAGAACAGGGGGAGAACAACCCTGTCAGACTGCAGGCTGCCAGCAGCATCACCACAACCAAAGGAAACGCAACGCTGCATGAGATCTGAGGAAAGCAAATCTGAGACGTGAGGAAACCAAAACTCCTCCTGTGCTGGTGCCCCACACCCCAGCACTAACCCTCATCACTGTTGTCATCCACGAGGATGATCTCCTTCAGCAGGTGGGCCGGCGTGTGATTGACAGCACTGTGCACCGACCGCAGGATGACCGAGAGCGCTTCGTTGACGAAGATGAAGATAATGGAGATCTGGGGCAGGTCCTTGCTGTACTTCAGCTCTTTGCACCTGCAGCACAAAGGGGAAAGAAAGAGATGAGGTTAGCAGAGCGTGCTGCAGCACTCAGCATTGGGAACACGTCTGATGGGCAGCAGTTAAGGCACAGCACTGACAGTTCTGCGCGGTATTTTGGCTGCCTGGGTGTGATTTCATCAGCACTGCACAGGAAGAGATGGCAGCACCACAGAGCATCCTCCTGGCTCACCAAGGCAGGGTGCAAACAGCTCGCTCAGCTGAGGTTGTGTTTGCATATCTGTATGTCCACAGCTGCCAGAACAGAGGAAGCCTTTCCCATTTAGAAGGAAGCTCCGCTTTGCTACTCCATGTCAAGATTAATTGATGCTCAGATATGAGTTTAGTTCTTAAACCACACTTGTGAACTTTCTCCCATCTGTCATGGTATGAAACGAATACAAAACAACCCACGTTTAAATAGTTTTAATACACATTTTTAGCTCTCTTTATAGATTCTTCTGAACACGCTTCTGTCTCTGAAGCATCCCAGCAGGGCGCTGCTGTGAACTGGGGTCTTTATACTTCACAGTCAGTACAGGCTAAACCACAGCTTTGAGATCACCTCCCTGGGTTACAGAAGTCATTGCTTAACTCCAGCTTTGGTTTGGTGGCTGAACATCTGCTCGGGCACAATTCTGTTGTCAGAGGTGGTACTGGTGGCAGAGAGATGCAAGGTGTTTCCATTCTCCCCATCAGCTTGCACCCCAGCCAGTAACATGTTCCCTACTTTAAACAATTCAACCTAACTTGTCAGTTTCCCCTGTTACAAAGGGGGAAGAACAAGAAAATTAGCTGTTCTGCTCCCTCTCCCCATTGAAGCTGGATTAGCCATGCAACATCAGCAGTCACAGAATTGCAGGGAGCATTTACCAACTAGATCTTGCCCAGGTAAGCAAAGGTAGAACAATGCAGGACCGAAGTCTAGGAGCAGCTTCAAGCTCCTTGACTCCCCAGCAATGACTCCGTATTTAATTGTGCTGGGTGTTTCTTAGGCAACAGCAGGCAGTCTCTGTGCTCCAAGAAGAGACACTGGAGACAGAGATTTGCACAGAAACACAGTTCTTTATGATTCCTCTTTAGTTAACAAGCATGTTGGATGAAAACAAGGTTGTATTTCCTGATTTAACTGTTGCATACCCTAAAGCAATCCAAGCTTTCCACAAAAAGGAATCTCTCAAATGCTGAAAAACATCTTCCAGAAGGCAGATCTCTCTTAACAATGAACACAACTGACCCTGCAATCCTGGCACAAAAGTCAAACTAAACAGGGAGAGATTAAAAACCTGCTTTTCATAGCTGTCAGTACCTGCTAAGCTGAAGGGAAAGTGGTCACAAGATCAGGAGTGTTTCCTTCTAATGACTGCACACCTCTGGTCCCCAGGCCACGTTTCTGGGGAATACTCAGCGTGTGATAAAAGTGGTTTGGGGCAAAATCCAAAGCAAGTCCTTTGAGGCTCATCTTCTGCTCACCGTTTCCCTCACCCAGTGGCCGAGGGCTGGAGAACAGCATTACAGAGAGACAAGAAGTCAGGAAAGGAGCAGACACCTCAACGCCCACATTGTCCCTGTGCAACTCCCTGTAGGAGGCCCTGTACATAAACACCCCATGCTGGTTGCTGTGGTTGCAACCGCTGGAGCAGGGAAAGCAGCCTTTTAAAACCAAGCTAACCTCAGGTGGGTCAGCCCTCTTGGGGCCCTCTTGAGGGCCCTTGAGGTGCACGAAGCAGCTGTGCTGAGCAGAGCTTCTGCCTGCAGCCAAACTCATGCGTGGGCCATGTTTTTCATCCATGCATGCCAGAGAGCACCTGCTGCTGTGCGCTCTACGGGGCCAGCAACAGGAGGAGCGCTCAGGTTCCGACCCAACTAGAAGGGTCAGCAGAGAACTTGTTAAAGCAGCAGGAATAATGACTACAAAGGAATGGAAGTGGTTTGGTTTGCTGTTTGATTTTTTTTTTTCCTTCCAAGCATTTTAAACACAACACGGACTGATCCAGACCCTGCAGCGCTCAGCGCTTCAGGTGAACCCAAGAGGAACAGCAGACAGGGACAAGTCCCAAGGTTCAGGCTGAGACAGCATTCACCTCCAGGTGACAAAGCACTTCATAGAATCATAGAATCACAGAACAGCTTGGGTTGAAAGGGACTCCAAGGATCGCCAATTCCAACCCCCTGCCACAGGCAGGGCTGCCAACAGCTAGATCAAGTACTAGACCAGGCTGTCTAGAGTTCCATCCAACCTGGCCTTGAACACCTTCAGGGATGGGACATCCACAGCCTCTCAGGGCAGAACAGTGAGAAACTCTCAGTGAAAACCTTCCCCTCTGACATCATTTGGGTGACTGCAGCCTGCAAATGCAGAGCCCAGACCACGTCCACATGCAGGATTCAGGCTGAGCATCCAGAAGGCAGCACACACACCAGCCCTGTCTCCTCGGGGATGTGCAAATTAGTGAGATGGAAGTGATCCTCTAGAACATTCTCAAGGGAACATGAGGCTAACAGAAAGGCAAGAAGTGCTGGAAGAAACTGGCTGTCCCAAGGCTTTTGCCAAGCTTATTGAGAACTTGAACTAAAACCAATGCAAACACATCTCTAAGTAGACTAGAAAGCCTCTGCAGATCCTCTCATCTTCCAGGAAAACGACCTCAGGTTTTATTTCTAACGCTCAGCTCACACCATATCTGCTGGTGGCTCTACTCCCAGCCCAGGAAGGATGGATTTCTCAAACAACAACTGCAAATACTTTGAAAACTTTTTGATGTAAATACGATGATGGTGAGATCAATACAATACAGCCTTTCTGGGGTGAAAGTCCAGCAACTCTTTTTAACATAAATTTGCCCACTTCCAGTCATCCATCATTACCAAAAGGCAATTTTGGAATACAAGGGCAGAACCTGGCCCTGTATATCAGGAAATACCTCAAACTGGAAACAAAATCAAGCAGTCTGCAGTTGGTCCTTCATTTCCTCTTTGCCAGATGAGCAACACTCCATCAGTAAAGCTCAGAACAACGCTCACTTGCCAACACCTGTGAGCTAATTAGCACAGGTTACACAGTGACATTTTCCTCACTAAATCCTACTCTCTTCAGCTAATGTAGGCTGGCACCTGCTTGCAGGATTTATATCAAAATATCATGGATTAATAGCAAAAAGATACAGAGCCCTTACGGCTTTGTCTCTCATTTAGATCAATGGGACATCAGAGTAAGAGGCATTTTATGTCCCATTAAATCATGCTTGACTATGCCCCCTTAAATCACACTGACAAAACCCTCTTTAAGTTTTGCCTTCCCAATGCACAGCATCAGGGCTGAAGATAAAGCCCAAGCTGAGCAACCACTGGGAAGCATCACTTGATCTCCAACAGTAGGAAATGGGGTTTTATTCCACCCCCGGTCCCCTTCACCTTTCTTTGGTCAGAGATCTTTGTCCTACACAAAAGCCTGACCTTGCAATCAAGAGCACGTGGAATAAAATATATTTACAGGGAGGCTTTTTTATTGTTATTATTTTTTTACTGAGACAATTTTATGCAAGAAGCCATTGAGAAACAAATAAAGGATGAAAAGAGGAGGTGGGGGAAGGGCCGAGTTTATGGGGAACAGCTTGGTGTGCGTCAGGCTGCATTAATCAAGTCAGCACATTTCCAAACAACAACAACAAAAATCAGGCTGTGCAACAACGACAGCGTGCTGCAGGAAAAACAGCACCCAGACACAGACGGAGCCCAGGAGCAGTGGGACAGCCTGCTCCCACATCACGCCACTGCCACCCACACCCCATCACCACGGATCCCAGTCATGGCACCAACTGAGTCCAGCAGCAATCTGCCTCCTCCTGCAATAGGCTCAGCTCATCCACTCCTGGCAGCACGCACATCTATTTTCCGCAGTACCTCAAATCATTACGGCCATCATTTTTTCCTAATTTGTCCCAGCTGTACCGTCTGCAAAGTCCTTCCTCCCAAATCCATATATAAATATGCCTACCCAAACTTTACGTGAAGATTAAAAACCATTAAGCAGAAAGTATAGCTGTTCTCACTCCTAGCGAGAAGGCAGAACTCCATAAATTTGAGAAGTCTGCTCCGGATGGGATGTGCCATCGGTTTCAAACAGGCTCCATGTTTTAAGGGCAATACTTGGATTTAGTAAAGAAAAAACAAACAGAATTCAACAGGCTGTCTGAAAACAATCCATCCAGAACGTGAATTTCCTAGTGATTTATTTCTAGAGAATATTTCCATTCTCCATTCACCATGGATTATCAGTCTGGAGCCATCACTCCAACCATGCAATGAGGATGCAAAAAAAAAAAAAAAAAAAAACCAATGCAGAGATTTTGGTGAAAACCCAGAGACAGATGAACTGAGAGGAGTGTCAGGTGGTAAAGAAATAGGAGAGAAATGCCACTGAAGGAAAAGTATCTGCTACTGCAGGCACAGAACCCAGATGGTGCTATTAAAGCCCCATCAGCACAACCCATTCTCCAAAGGTCACTTCCAGCTCTGCATCCAGCTCTGTGCCCTGCTGCCTGGAATGCTGCTACATCAGCAAGGAAGGCAAACAAAATGTTTAAAAATGTCAATGGAAAACCAAATCTTCCTGCAAAAGGAAGCCCTCAGACATGCCCTGCAGCACGAGAGAAGCTGAGCAGGGAGCTGGGCAGGACCTGGTGCCAGTCAAATCAAAGCCTGCTAAGAGACAACTGCAGCTTCCCTTAAGTTGCATGTTTAGTTCTTAAGCACACAGCTGGCCAGCCACTGAAGGACAGGAAACACTGGACGAAAGCCAGAGGCAGTGCATGGCGTCACAGAATCATAGAATCACAAGGTTGGAAACGATCTGCAAGATTATCTAGTCCAGCTGTCCTCCCATTACCACTGCTACCAGCACTTGCCTGCCCTTGATTCCAGCCTTACCCAAATGAGCAGCAGTTGAGGACCCTGATCCAACCCAAACACATCCAATGAGCACACAGTGATCTGGT